AAGTTGTATTCCCGCAGAATACTCTGAAGCAATAGGAAAATATTTTCAGCAGTATGCTGTTCATTGAAATCACGAAATGCAAGAACACGTTTATGCATAATCCAATCACTATCTATCCAATGACAAGTAACACCCATATAAGACAAATTATGATAAGTTTCACTCCAAATATCAGAACAAATAGCAACACGAGAATTAAAATTGAGGAAAAAATTTGCCAAATTTATTTTTCCAGTTTTATACTGACGAATAATTTCTCGTTTAATTGTTTTTCTTGAAAAACCTCGTGCTTGAGGGTTTAATGCCTGTTGACAATAATCAATAAAACCAAGTTTCTCAGAAAACATGTATGGCAAATTTTCTTCACAAATCATTTCGGTCATTTTTTGCTTATTTTGCTCGTCGCTATAAGCAAAAAGGCCGCCCTTACCTCTGTTAGCAAACCGAGAAATTTGGGTTTGCACTTCTTGTCGTCCCTTCTTTTTTGCCTCGTATTTGGCGTACTCGACGGGATGCCTCGACCTTAGGTGTTTTTCCGGACCGCCATAACCGCCGGAGATTCCCATTTTTATGACGGTCCCACAATGTTTACAAGTTCCAGTAACTACGCCATTTTTTGTATCTTTGTCAAAATGATAAACAAATAACTCTGATTTAGCTTTTTTTTACCTTTATCCGGACCTCGAGAGGTCTCGGGCTCACCTGCCTCCACGCCGACGTCGTTGCTCTGTGGTGTAGGCTCCTCGTCCCCGTCCAGATTATCCAGATGTGCTTCATCAAGATCTTCAAATACACTATCAAGAGTGGGGATATTTCCGTCCCCTCTACCGGAATAAATCTGGTCGAATTCTTCATCCGTCATAGCGTCCCCGATTAAGTGATCGGGGATAGCAGGAAAGGAAGAGACAGAGTGTCTTCCTCGAGAAACGCGTGAGGTCGAACCGTCGGAGGTGGCTTTTGCTTTGCCTCTACTCGAACTTCGGTTCACGGCGCCCATATCCACGGACCTTCTACCGGACTCTCTCGACATTTTAATATATATATATATTTTGTTATAAAAAAATAATATATTAAATTTCGAAAGTTTAAAAAAAATTCGAAATTTTATATATAAAAATTTCGAAAATTTCAAAATTTTAATGTATAAAAATTTTATATTATATATTATAATATAAATATTAAATGTATAAAAATTAAAAAGAGATAATAAGATTGAGAGATTGATAAATTGAGAGAATGAGAGATTGAGAGAATGAGAGAATGAGAGATGGATTGAGAAATTGAGTGATTTTTAAAAAAAAAATGTGAGAATTTATAGGGTTTCCCCCCCCCCTCCCCCCTCCCCTCCCCTCTTCCCCTCCCCCACCTCAACGGCTAAATAGCCGTTTGAGGTGTGCCCCCACCACTAATTTTTTTTCTTTTTTTGCAGGTTGGACCGTTGGACTTTGGACAAAAGCAAAAAAAAAAAAAATTGTAACCGGGTATTGGAACCGGACCGGTACCGGCGGTACCGGTACCAAAAAATAGGTACCGGAACCGGTACCGAAATGGGCGGTACCGGTACCGGTTCCCGGAACCGGTGACACGGCGGCGACGGCGGTAACGGTGGCGGGTACCGGCGGTACCGTTGCCGGTCACGGTACCGTCCTGGTACCGTGTCCACCCCTAGTTAATATGATAATGATGTTTTTAGTGGATGAGACTAAATCCATGCTCCTCAAACCAGAATTATATTTCTCATTTACGAGTTAAATTTTATACAGAATATTTTTAGTAGCGACAATGCGAGAGACAGCCTTTCAAAAAACCAGACTACAGTCGATTTCTAGTAGCGACAATGCGAGAGACAGGCTTTCAAAAAACCAGACTAAGATTATACCATGATTTACCCCATCACTACTCTCTTGGGCCGGGCTCGCCTGTGGTGGGTGTTCCACCTTCTTTTAGAGAGTAAATTCTTGAAATAGTTCTTTATTTATAACATGGGGTTTTTCATTTATAGTCCTCAAAAAGAAAACACAAACAGAGTGAATCTTCCCCCATTGGATCCACTTCAATCCAAATGAATGATATCAAATGTATACTTACCCTTGAATCCTGATCACTCAGACCGTCTTTTCTTTGGATGAGTTTTTTTGTTTGATAAGTTGGTAAGGAAATGGCTTCTTCCTGTACTTCTCTATAGGATGGGTGCAAGGAGTTGTAAGAAACATAAGGGCAGGGAAGGGTGGATAGTAACCTGTTTGGGAAATTTAAAGGTGAAGAAAGAGGGGGAAGGAGGGTTAGTGGGCAGCTGCGAAGAGAGGGAGAACAGGCGAAGAAAGATAAATGAAGGATGGGAGGAAGAGAAGAAAGAAAGGAGGCGAGGAACAGAGAAGAAGAAGAGTATTTTCCATTTCCCTCATTCCAAACACCGAAAACAGGGAAAGTGACTTCCACAAGTCATTTTCCCTCATTCCAAACGGACTCCAATATCAACCATATAATTTCACATTTCTTAGTTTTCATTCCACTAACCATGTCCCAAAATATAGTGGGATGGTGAGCAACCGGGAGTACTCTACTGCCTTTGACTCGATCTTCTCAAGAGCGGACACATTTCATTCATCAATATGTGGGGAACAACTAGGTTCATCAATAGAATGTATTTTCTTAGCGCTGAACAACTAGGTTCTTCATGAATACTCGAATGACAATATGTGGGGATAGAATGTAAATGTATGAATTCACCTTCTCTCACAGAAGATGGACCTTAGATGGTATGCCGTGGAACTGGAAATAACAGAATTAAAGTTCTCAATCTGTATAGAGTGGCCGGGGAGGGATTGGCATCTGTAAATTTTTTATATGAACCAATAGTTTTTCAGAGAAACCATAATCCACAAGGACTGTTTAAGATCATAGTAACAGGCAGGCTAGGGGTGGAGTCATGATTGGTGAATGAGTACGGTAAATAATGACATTTAGAGTGAACATGCCTCTCAATGGCGATAGCCGATAACCATTTTGTGCCATTGGTGATCTGGGCCTCCCCTTGCCATGAAAAATGTCCATGGCGATGGTTTGACTCATTGTGTTGCCATGTCTTGCCATTTGTACGTTTCCATCCTAGTCAATGTAATTTGAAAGCCCAATCTTAAAATCATAGGCTGTAAAAGCCATATAGCCCTAACACTCGTAGAGACGCGCGATTTCATACAACCTTTGCTCTTCAAACCTCCCCACATGACATCATGTTGGCGATGACCAGAGCGACTTGCAACCTGAGGTGAACGGCTTTGAATCAATCTCTTTCAGAGTTCTAGGCAACCTCCTCTTGGCAACCACCCCAAGTAAAGAGTCGGTCTCTTTCCGATGCACCTTAGCCACACTAGATTTCCCCCCTTTTATACATTTTAAACTTATGAAATTCAACAAAGGCCGAAATGGAGAGACTTGCCCGTGTATTGTATACTAGTTACTGGTTGTAATACATAATTTCACATGTTTAAAATACAGTG